CCTGGGGATGTCACTTCCCAAAGAACCAGGGGTCCTTTCTGACTTGGCATTGTGCCTGCCACATCGTAGATATATATTAATAGCAAATATTTTAATAGTAAATGAAGAAATGAATACAAGGACACACATCAAAACAACTATCTCACCCACAGATTTGGGGAAAAAAGCACCTCGAACGACATGCATCAATATCTGAACTGCTTTCCCTGAAGAAGCAGATTCCCCTCAGACCGTTCATGGGTCAGACTTCGTAGGCTGAATTTTCTCACATGTCCTTTTTTAGGATATCCTGGTATTCTGATATTCTGGTAAAGAAACAGAACCATGAGGGGTTGGGGGGCAAACCAGGAGGCCTCAGACTAACCAGTCTAAAACAAGCCATACCCCAACAGGGGCTGGATCTGGGTCAGACTGCCCAAAGGCATTCCAAGGCCACTGTGGTCTACCGTGGATAGCCTTGGGCATGGAACATCCACATGTGGATATCTAAAAGGCACCTTGAGTGCAGTGTGTTCAGATTCTCAGATCAAGATATTTCTACCCAAACTGAGTCTTCTTCCACTTTTTTTTTTGTTTTTTTTTAAGCTTTTTTTTTTTAAGCTTGGCAAGAAAGCTGGTAGCTATTCTTTTTAAAAAAATTTTTGTTTAAATTCAATTTAGTTAGCCTATAGTGTATTATTAATTTTAGGGGTAGAAGTTAGTGATTCATCAGTTGCATATAACACCCAGTGCTCATTCCATCACATGCCCTCCTTAATGCTTATCACCCAGTTACCCTATCTCCTCACACACCTCCCCTCCAGCAGCCCTTAGTTTCCTATATTTAAGAGTCTCTTACAGTTTGTCTTCCTTTGTCTTTACCTTATTTTATTTTTCCTTCCCTTCTCCTATGTTCATTTTTTTTGTTTCTTAAATTCCATGTATGAGTGAAATCATATCGTGCTTGTCTCTGCCTGATTTCGCTGATCATAATGCCCTCTAGTTCCATCCACATCATTGCAAATGGCAAGATTTCATTTTTTTTAAAGATTTATTTATTCATTCATTCAGAGGGAGCGAAAAGAGAGGCAGAGACACAGGCGGAGGGAGAAGTAGGCTCTAAGCAGTAAGCCCGATGTGGGACTCAATCCCGGGTCTCCAGGATCACACCCCAGGCTGCAGGCGGCGCTAAACTGCTGTGCCACCGGGGCTGCCCAAGATTTCACTATTTTTGATGGCTAAATAATATTCCACTGAATAATATTCCACTGTGTGATGGCGCACGCGTGTACACACACACACACACACACACACACACCAAAACTTCTTTTTCCATTCATCTGTTGATAGAATTTGGGCTCTTTCCATAATTTGACTATTGTGGACAATGCTGCTATAAACCCTGAGGTGCAGATTCCCCTTTGAATCACTATTTTTGTATCCTTTGGATAAATACCTAGAAGTACAATTGCTAGGTTGTAGGGTAATTCTATTTTTAACTTTTGAGGAACCTTCATACTGTTTTCCAGAGGGGCTGCACCAGCTTGCACTCCCATCAACAGTGTAAGAGGGCTCCTCTTTCTCCACATCCTCACCAACATTGGTTGTTTCCTGACTTGTTAATTTTAGCCATTCTGACTGGTGTGAGGTGGTATTCCATTGTGGTTTTGATTTGTATTTCCTTGATGCTGAGTGATATCGAGCATTTTTTTTCATATGTCTGTTAGCCACTTGTAGATCTTTGGAGAAATGTCTGTTCATGTCTTCTGCCCATTTCTTGACTGGATTTTTTATTTTTTGGAGTGTTGAGTTTGGTAAGTTGTTCTTTATACTCTTTCCTCATAGCTGTATCTAAGCCATCAACAAGTCCCGCAATTTTACCCCCTAAATATCTCAAACCCCCTATCCCTTCATCTCTGCCATCACTACTCCAGCTCTGCCCAACGTTATTTCTCTCTGGGACAAATACAAAGCCTCCTCTGAACTGGTTTCCTCACAGTCACTCTTGCACCCTCCAACCCATTCTTAAGACCACTGTCAAAAAGATCTCTTGTAAATATCAAATTGGTCATATCACTCTCCACATGTACAACACACATATATTTTGCTCCAAATACTTCAATGGTCCTTATGCTCTTAGAATAAAGGAAAAACAATCCTTAATAAGGCCCTGATTTCCCTGTCCAGCCTCTTCTCTTCTACTCTTCCCTACTCTCTACACCCAAGTCATACTGAGCCTCCCAGTTCTCTAAAAGCACTAAGTTCCCTCTTCACCTTTGTGGCCGTATCAGTACATATGCCTAGAAAGCTTTCCCCCCCACCCTACCCACTCCTTTCACCTAATAAACTCCTAATGACCCTTCAGATCTCAGCTCAGATGTCAATTCCTCAGCAAAGAGGTCAGGATCCCTATTATATGCTCTCATGGCAGCTTGTCCCTTTCTCACATAGCATTTATTCTAGTTTATAATTTTACATGACTGGTGCAACTATTTCAATAGTACCATGTCTGTGGTATTAATGTAGTCCTCCTAATACTATGGGGTGTACATTAATCCCATTCTGCTGATAAAGAAACTGAGACTTGGAGGGGGCTGGCTAAAACATGATGGGGCCAGGGTCGGCACCTTAGTCTGACTCTAAAGTCTACAGTCTTAATTACTGCCTGCTGCCCTGCAAAATGGAGTTATTCATACCTACTCATACCTACTCATGGTGTCATGAAAATTCCAGCACAGTAGGCACTAGGTAAGGGGTGGCTGTTATGATTACTGTGGTGCTGGAGGCATTGTGGGGTGATCATTTACCATTTTGCCCAGAAGAGAGCTAATCTGATTGCCTTTCTGGGGCTGAAACAGTTGGACTTGGTTTGAAAAAGAGACTTTTATGAAAAGCAGCATGCTGTGACAGTTCCAACACAGAGTATGTGGAGAGGGAAGCTGATGTGCTAACAAAACCAACCCTAAGATCTCTGGCCCCGGGAACTAACCATTCTGAATGAACTTGGGTTTCTCACGGTTAAGCCCAGACATTGGGTCTGCCTGGGGAACCCAAATCTACAATAGTTCCTTGAATTTCTTTTGCTACTTCTTTTTCTATGTCCCTGTAGCAGAGTAAGAGAGAGAACACACTGCATCTGGAGTCAGATTCTAAGTCTGAATTCTGATGTGACCAGAGCTAAGCAAGTAGGGATCCATCAAGGTGACTTGTCGGAGCCTCAGGGTCCCAGGAAGCCAGGAGACAACAAGGGCCATATGTCATTCTCTCAGTCTGTTTGGGGATGATCCATTCTTCTGAGTCCCCCCTTTTCCCGTCACTCACCAGTGGCCATGTAAAGGAAGAAAGCAGCCAGAGTAAATGAGTTCCTACTATATATCAAGAACTTTTATATGCATATTTTCATGCAGTAAGTTAATCCTCATAAATATGAGCAACAAGAGCTATTATTCTCATTTTATAATGAAGGAAACTGTATCTTAAAGAGATTAAATGACTTGGGGCAAATCACTATACATTAAGAGGTGAAATAGATTCAAATCCAGTTTTGTTAGGTTCTGAAACCTGTATTTCTATTTACCGTATCAAAAGATTTATAATGTCCGAGTCTACAGGAAGAATTCTGGAAATTAGCTGGATGTGCAGAGTGATGGGAAAGCCATGAAAGCCCATCTGTCCCCTCCTCTGCTTACTGAGCACCTCCTCTGTGCCTGACACTATGCTGGGTGCCAGAGATCTAGGGGTGAACAAACTATGGCCCCTGCTCCTGAGAGGGGTCACAGAATAGTGAGGGAGGCTCTCCAGGGAAAGAAAAGCTAAGACAAAATCGGGAAACTGAGTAAGAGCGAGAAGGGCAGAGGATTATAAAACATCAGAACCAGACGGATTCTTGGAAGACAACTACTCAAAACCTGGCTGCATCACTTGGAATCAATCTGGAAGATTATTAGAACCAAAAATTTCCAAGCATTCAATCTCCAATTCTACGGATGTGCAAGTGGGCCCAGGAATCAGTACAGTTAACAATTATCCTAAGTGGTTCAGTAGAACTGATTCACAGTCCAGGTGAATAAAACCACGGATCCATCCCTTTCCCTTGGCAGGTATGAAAGCAGAGGCGCAGAAAGGGAACATGACTAACCCAAGGACATACAAGAGTCCATGCTTCAGACTCAAGTTGCCAGCTTCCAGCCAAACAACTTGAAGTCATTTTTCAAAAATTCAGAATGATTTACTTTTAGGCATTGTATCTGCATTTGTAAATGTACATAAGACATATTTTATGTACACGTACTAGCTAGTTCTTTCAGGATAATGTTATGTGCCTATCGGAAAATTATTTTTTACAAAAGCACAGTGTGGAAAATAACACAGATCTATTTAGAAGACTAAAATGGATATACAGGATGGATACAGGTTTTCATAATCAACAACCATATTCTCCGCCCTATCCTAACCTCTGACCACCGCCATCCTAGGGGACCGCGATAGGGCAATAAACTTTTTTTTTTTGGCAATAAACTTTATTAATTAATCAAGGACAGTACTTCAAGGTCTGGGTTCTCAGACTGTGATGAAGGCAAGGGAAAAGCAACAGACAAACAAGCACTTCGGGTTGGCGCAGGGCTTGCTATACCCATAGCATCTTTCTCCACCCAGGAGGGGACACTCTGGCCACTGAAAAAGTGCTGAGCCTCCTGCTCCTGACTTCTCCACAGGCAGCTCAATTCCCTTGCCTTGCTAGAATATCAGAAAGATCCTCTGTCCTTCCAGCTTTAGATTCCTTCTACTGGATACAGGTAGGTGACAGGCAAAGGTCAGAGGTACAGAGGTTCTGAGGCTTGAGGGGAAGCAGGCCTTTCTGCAGGCGTTCTGTGAGCTCACTGAGCTGCTCACCAGCTATCTCCACTGGGTCTCCTTTTTCAGTTTCACTGAAGTTTGCCCATACTGCTGTTTGAGAACTCTGACAGCAAACTACATGGTCTGGCTCAATTTCCTCATGTCCTGCTTTTTGGCAGTCTTGCCCAAATCTAGTACCATTTACCAATTGGCATGTCATCCTTGTGTAGGGGCCTTGTTAATCTTCTCTATATCATTCCAATTTTAGGATATGTGCTGCCGAAGCGAGCACCCAATTCCATTTACTTTTTTGAGGCCCAGCTACCAGGGCTATTCCTTCCTCTTCCACGTGCAGGCCCCAGGTTCTGAGGCTGGTAAGGGAGCCCAGAAGCAGTGGTTAGAGGGGTAGATAGGAAAGACTCAGCAGAGCTCAGTGTTAGAGAAGCTAAATGCAGAAAGGGTTCCAAGGAGGGGTACAAGAGCATTGCCGAGTGGGGAGGTGGCCTCAGAAGGATTAGAGCAGAGGCGAGCTCAGCTCACTGGCCTCCCCACCCTGGGTCTGTCACTGATATGCCAGGCAAGTCATACCCTTCTTTTAGCCTCATTTTTCTCATCTGTAAGTGAGGAAATTGAATTAGCTTGTGTCCATGGTTCCCATCCAGATTCTGAAATTCTATTTTTTTCTTTTTTGGCATTGGGTACAAATGACTAAGATTGACACTATGACTCAATAATAAATGTTTATAATCCAGAACTACAGAGTCTGAAATCTTAGAGCTAGAAGAGATTGACCGATGCAGTTTTTTCTTTCCTGCCCATTTGATGATAAGGAAATTAAGGCCCAGAGGACTACAAATTCTCTGTGGGCTGAGGGCTGGGACTATCTGTCTCCTTCCCCACTGCCTGCCTGGAACATTTTCAAAATGTTTGTTGAATGAATGAATGAATGAATGAACAATAAGGTCCCTCCAAGGTCAGGCAGCCCAGGGGCAGGGGAAATATCCTCTCTCCTTGCCTGGAGGGAGGGAGCAGGATAAAACAGAAGCCTCGGGCTGCTTCTGGCCCTTGAAGGTATGGTGCTCTCCAGCTGGAGAGCCAGAACAGAGCCAGGAACAAATTCTCAAGGCTGGTGGTGCCAGCGGCGGTTGGCCACAAAGTGGGCTTCTGCTAGAGTCCTCCGTGCTGTGCATAATGAATCACGATATGTCAATTACTACATTCTGTTAACAAGCTCGTGTCCGCCTGTGCTTCGCCAATGAGTGCCCTGCAATTTGCCACAGATCTGCAGTTAATATGTGGCAGAGCAAGGGGGGCAGAGGATTTTGAGATACTCCAGGCCCAGGGAAATCAGGTGGTTGGATTGTTTTGGGCAACTACTGGCCTCAGTGATTGGGCAGCAGTAGGTAGGGATGTACATTCTCCTCGTTGGGGACCAGGTCTGTGTTCTGGGTACCCTTTTGTGTCCTGGAGGTAAAAGGATGTCTGACTCAGGTAAGTCCACCTAGAGGAAGCCATCTCTATACTACTTTGTCTGAAGTACCAAACAAGATGGGGCAGAGAGAGAGTGGGAATTAAAAAAAAAAAAAATCACCCGTAGCATGGTCGGATGGCCTGATCATCTATTATCAGCTCTGAAGTCTCGAACAGGATTCAAAACCCAAGTCTACTACATACAAGCTGTGTGACCTCGAGTAAGTCTCTTCATTTCTCTTAGTTCCCACATCTGATAAATGGGGATAAGATATCTACTTTGCAGAGGTATTTGCAAGTACTAAATGAGATAATGCATATCAAACCCAGAAGAGTAGCTGGCATGGAGGGGGCGTACGGTTTATGAGCCTCCTATCCCGTTCGAGATGCTTTCTGAAGGGATTCTAACCTCTGGAGGAGGATTAGGGCCAGGACCCTACGCAATCCCAGACAAGAAGCTTTGTGTTTCAGATGTGTATGTGCGCGTCCCGCCACTCCCCACCCCCCAGTGGCTCCACGGTGACGATTACAACTGCAGGCATGTGAGGATGTCGGATGTGCCTTCCTCAACTCCACACTGGCTGCGTGAGAAGTGAAGAAGCGTCCTGGTGAGAGGGGAGGCTGCTCATTTCTCAGGCAGCACCGCTGCAGCCCCTGACCTACTTTCTTACTAAAAATAGCCCCTCTTAGGTCACTGCCGCAAATTGAATTCCACTGCTTCACTGCACCCTGGAAGCAGGTGGGTGGGCGTCAGAGCATATTTGGTGAGCAGGAACCTCCGCTTCTGTGGCATCTGGCTGCCCACTAGGCATGCTAAGCCCACACATCTGCCCACAGGGCAGAGGGCTCCAGTGTCCACCCTGCCCAATCCGCGACGTCTGCACACAGCAGGGCTACACCTGGCTGCCCCCCCCCCGCCCACCGGGATGCTCTGTAGGGGGTGGGGAGGGAGAGAAGGGGTGGGCAGTTCCTGGGATTTGAAGTTTGATAGAACTGCATTCAAATATGAGCTCCACTGTGTACTTATTACTTAACCTTGGGCAAGACACTTAAATTTTCTTTGCCTCAGTCTCCTCATCTGTAAAACGGAGATAATAAAACTGACCTCAAGGTACTATACAGATAAGAAATGCTGTATGTAAAGGAGTCGTTGACAAAGAACAGGTGCTCAATAATGAAGCGGTAATAGTTACTCTCTCCACTGTCTGGCCTGCTGGTCCACAGCGCCCTCATGCTGAAGCCTCTTATGGCAGCAGGGGCAAAGGGCTAGCAGACCACTCCGAGAACCAGGTAGACTTTAGGCTGAAAGCACCTTAGAGGTAGTTAGGTCAAGGGTTCCCACACATGGCTAAGCATCACAGTAACTAAAGCAGCTTATTAACAACACTGATTCCCAGGGCGCCTGGGTGGCTGAGTTGCTTAAGTGTCTGACTCTTGATTTGGGCTCAGGTCATAATCTCAGGGTCATGAGATAGAGCCCCACAACAGGCTCCATGATCAGCCTGGAGTCTACATGGGATTCTCTCTCTCCCACTCCCTATACCCCTCCCCACCACATGCGCACTCTCTCTCTCTAAAATAAATAAATAAATATTTAAGCAAACAAAACAATACTGATTCCAGATCTTTGCCCTGGATTTTGGGATTCAGGACACCTGTCTTGGAACATGGGAATTTGCATTTTACTAAACTTTCCAAGTATCTGTGGTATCTGCACTGCCAGGTTCGAGAACCTTTGAGTTAGGCCAGTCACCTCCTTAAAAATAAATGGGTAAATGAATTACTGTTATTTGACCTCCATTATAAGGGTAATGTATAGTCATTATAAAATATGCAGAAAATATGGAAAAGTAAAGAGTGAAAAACAATTTAAACAACATGTATCGAGTACCCATTAAGTGCCGGGCCCTCTACTAAGCCCTGGGGATTTGGCAATAACACAGTTCTGACCCTCGAGGGGGATCCACTCTATGTTTAGAGACAGAAACAGATACAGAAAACTAACACGATTATAGACATGTTAGATCCCTCTTACAAAATGTGCAGAAACAGAGATGAAGGCACAATTTACTTTTCCTACGAAGTCAGGGAAATCTTAAGCTGCCTGGAAGGAGATTAAGTATTCACCTTCTGGCCAAGGGAGGGAAGAGCATTTCAGAAGGAATGAACAGAACATACAAAAGCACACACAGTTGGGAAAATGTCCTAGGTCACCATATATGGCAAATGGTGGCACAGGGGTAGCTGGTGTGAACGACTGGGACCAGATCATGACGGATCCTGGATGATATCAACAGTGTTGCCTACATTAGGAAGTATGGTTTTTCCAATATGCTTTTTTTATAGATGCCTTTTTGGTTTCATTTTTACATGACCAATGATGTTACTTTTTTTATTTTTAAGACTTTATTTCTTAGAGAGAGAGAAAGCACAAGCAGAGGGAGCAGGAGAGGGAGAAGCAGGGTTTCCCTGAGCAGGGAACCTGATGTAGGCCTCTATCCCAGGACCCTGAGATCATGACCTGAGCCAAAGATAGATGCTTAACCGATTGAGCCACCCAGGCGCCCCCAATGCTGTTACTCTTTAGTAAATACTGCAAATTAATCAAGTCATAATTGATCCAATCCCAATTATCAGACATTTACGCAACTTCTAGTTTTACTAAATCATACAAACACTAAGATGGACATCTTTCACCATAAAGCTGTTTCCATATTTAAGGTCTTTCCTTAGGAGACAATTCCAGGACATGAATTAATAGATGAAATTGAATGGACATCTTCAAGGCTCTTGATAAATAGTTCCAAAGGACTTTCCAAAAGTGACTTGTTTTTGTAAATGAGGAGGGAGGGTCCAAAGAAGTTATAGGTCTTATCCCAGATGCTGAATGGGGGTGGATCCAAGAGCAAAACCTGAGTCTCCTAACTCCTGGTCCAGTGTTCTGTCTTCTACAACACGTTGCCTACCTACAGACTTGGGCTGAAAGCAATAAGATATATATAGCCAATGCCTGTGATCACTTCTAACTAAGGATCTTAGGTTAGTTTATACATGGATGGGATATTAGAGTAATATGCGTATGCTTAGGCACATGAACACATGTGAAACTATATGAAAGTCTGTTTCTAACCTTATCATATATGCTCTTCCACACAATTACAGTTTCTGTTCTAACCAAGCCAAGAATATTTTACACTATCTTACCTCTGCACCTTTGATCCTACGTGAAATATCTCCTGTTCACCTCTTCAAATTCTACTCATGATTTAAAAAGATAGACCTATACGATCCAAAAAACATTTCCAGACTGTGGGCATTTGCCACCATAACACTCATATATGATACTTATTTTATTGTTTTGCAGCACCTCTAGCATTGATGTAAAACTATTTAAGTGTATCTACAAAATAAAAGTTTGTCTCGGGCCTCCATTATTAGAGGTAAATCAAAAACACCTACGCCTTCCTAAAGTTAATGAGGGTAGATTTACTTCAAAAAAGCACTTATAGAGTTTGATGGGCTCAAGAAAGGTCAGTCTCATACCCTGTGCCTCCCATGTCACTACAGCAGACAGACATCTCGGTAGATTGGAAAGGATCGGGAGAATCATGGTGTCCATGTGCTGAGGACCTACTCTGAGTAGCCACAATGCCAGGTGCTTCACATACATTACCCAGAATGACCTTAAAATAATCCCAGCAAGGGAAATAATTATTCTTGCCATTTTACAGATGAGGAATGGGAGACCTGCAACACTGGGTAACTTGCTCAAAGGTCAACACCATTAGAAAGTGTCAAAACTGGGATTTAAATCCAAGTATG